AAGAAGAAGAAGAAGAAGAAGAAGAAGAAGAAGAAGAAGAAGAAGAATAAGAATAAGAAGAAGAAGAGGAGGAGGAAGAAGAAGAAGACAAAATCGTTTTGAATATAGACTATATATAGGTTCTTGAGGGATACTTTGATTAAAATACAACATGCATAGGGATCTAAACAGCGTTCCTGCTTTCAATTCTTCATAGTTAGGACCGTTAAGCCCAAGACCTACAGTATTGACGGTGAGTATATGGAGTGAGGGGTACTTCCAAACCTACAAGGCTAGTCACCAGAAGTCTCATTGAGCAATTGGCAAGCCAACGAATGTGGGGACTCCCTGCCGAGGGGCCTTTGATGTTGCATGAAGCTTAGTGGAGCTAGTGCCTCATGAGCATTGGATTCCTTCCCGCCTGCGCCCAATGGGCATTGGGAGTTTCCTTCCCTCCACTGCCCAGGCAGCCTTCGAGGAGGTTTGTAAACCTGAGACCACCACAGCCGGGAAGCTCAAAGACCTGTGCCGAAGAAAGGCCTGAAACACTGTCCCAAGGATCTACCGACAGCTATTGCTCACTGGACAGGAGGGTTGCTATACTGAAGGTTCTGCGGAGCTAGTTAATTTCGGACTAAACCCCATCAGTCTTGGTGAATTGGTGAATCCCAGTTCTTTGCAACGCAGCCAAGTTCTTGTGCACACCTTGGAAATGCCTGAGGCTGTGCGTGCTGGTGAATCAGCCAGTTCTCGTGCAGTCTGGGACACCCAGACTGAAAGCATTTGAAAGCACACCCAGGTCAGGTGGACCAGATCCAGCTAGTATTGGAAAAAGTTACCATTGTTCACCCTTGTCACTGGGTGTCTCTAGCTCCATCTCCACCCAGGCCTCGACCCCCTCGTCGCCGCCGGAATCTCCCTCCGAAGGCGGGACGTCGTTGGACTTGGCCCACAGAACGAGCCCAATCCGAGTATCGCGAACTGATCTACCAATCCAAGTTGAACTCAATCGCGATTGCTCGCAAGTAAGAGTCGATTGGTCCTGCTCTTTTTGGAGGCGATTCACTTTTCTATTTGGGGACCACAGACACCGATGGTACAGTTGGAGAAGGTGAGCTTGATAATGTTTATGATTTGATTCGCTTCAGTTGAATGTCACAAGGACATTTCGTTGCGGGACTGGCACCCGTGGCTTTAAGATTGCAAATGATTACGATGTGCGGATTCCTTGAAGAAACTGGGCGAAAGACCAGGGACCAAGCGGAGAATGTGGGAGTTTGCAGCAAAGAAAAGGACGGTTTGACATGCCCCATGCTTAGTGGGCCCGACCACCACTTGCGCAGGCGAGTCGGGTGGAAGCTCCGGGTCTAACCTCAGTGGCCATCGTCTCAGTTCCGGAGCGGGGTCATGTCCAGCAGCTTGCATCAGCAGAAGATTTTGCTGCGAGTCGTCAAACAACTAAGCTCTCCTGAATAGTAGAAGCACAAGTTCATCTAAGAGCTCCAGAATTTTGACCTGAGTCATTTTCAAGCTAGCATCGAACAGCGTCTGAAACGAACCGCCTCCACGGCCCTTCTCCCATGTCGCCAGCGTCGGTGTCTGTTTTGCGTGCAAGGCCCGAACAGCTCGGTGTCGTCCAAAGAGATGACCAGTGACTTCACCGGGAAAGCGTCCGAGAAGGCGATTGGAATGCCGGTTGGGGAGGGAAGATGCATGGAAGATGCATGGGTTGGGCATGAAGATGCATTAATTTTGGATGATTTTGGCACGCTTTTGGGTTTGGTGGCGTGCGGTTTGTTTTGCAAACCATATTGCGTTGCGCGGAAGATCCCACACCCGAAGGTGTTAGTAACTAGTTGCCCCATGTTACCCCTGCTTTTCCGAGGCAGTCAACACTTAATATTTGATTCAAGCTAGTTAAGTTTTCCCAAAGATCTAGGAACCAAATCACTAGTGCGAGCGCTTCTTGGGGGAGCTTCCTTGAAGAAGCGTGAGCTATCCTGCGTCCACATGTAGTCGCTAACTTGGCCTAGTAGCAAACTAGTCGCCTTACTTACAGTAATTAAGTAGGAGCAGGCAAAAAAAGCAAGATTAGGCAAAAGCAATCCTCAGCGAAAAGCACAGTGAGTCAATGAATTAATTCTTTTTTACCCGGATCTCTTGGCATCCATCATCACTATAAAGTCTATGTAGTTTGTCACAGCATCGGATTACAGTGTCAATACTTCCGGGATGTGCCGAGGCATCGCATGCCATTCCCCTGGTGGGGCCAGAGGGTTGTTTGGGGTTGTCTAGATGAAGAAGCATTGTGTTAGTCTTTGCGAAGACTTTGGCGGAAAGAGCAGGGTTGACCGAACATGTGTTCCATCAAGTTCGTTTTTACATTTTTTTAAACATCTCTTTCTCTCTCTCTCTCTCTCTTTCTCTTTCTCTCTTTCTCCGCTGATTTCAGATAGGCTTGCACTGGAGCATCCGTGCATTCAACAGGGGATCCTACGAAGTTGACATCCACAGAGTCTAGGCTATGGTTGTTGAGGGGAGTGGATTTCGAGGCCCAATTCCAGTTCCACATTCATATAGAGCTGTCCCGCAACCACTGGGATTTGAATTTCAACTACTTTTCTATTGTCCATTCAACAGGAGTCGCAGGAGTCGCTCCTTTGCTTGAGTTGATTGTTTTGAGAGTTGTGAGCAGGCACGCAAACTTGCGTTGGTGCCAGACGCTGAGCAAACAGAGAAGTGGCTTATGCATGCTTATACAGAATTCTTGAAGCTTTAGGATCTGTAACAAAATGTAATCTAGAAAAAGACAAATAGCAGCGGCTTTCGTCTGCATGGACATGGTGAGCTACCCGCCAGTTGGCCCAGTCGGGTGCTTCTGACCCCACCCGGCTGGACAGAGACCTCGAAAGAGTCCAGTTCAGCATGTGGACACCTCATGGAGCTGTGTTAGCTGTATGGGTCTTGCAGATATCCGTTGGCAGTTCCAGCCACTCCCAAGTCCCAAGCCTCCTAGGGCCAGTTTCGATGGGTATACTTGGTGAGGGAGATGAGAGAAGTTGTCTTCACCCTCGGTTTCAACCCGGAGAAACACCATCTTGCTTGGGTAAGAGAATCGCATCGAGATGAACCACCTTTGCTACTAGTAACAAGAAGCTACTAGTAAGACAGGGCATCGCTATTAGGAGCAAGAAGCTACTAGTAGCTCCTGGCCCTGCTACTACTAGTCTACTAGTAATTAAAAGATGCATCGAGTGTTGGACACCGAGGCCTTGCACCGAGCCTTCGCCTCGACATAGCGCCGGCGCGTCGGGCTCATCAAGTGGTTTGAAGAGACGAGAGTCCATGGGCAGCTTGCTGAGAAAACGAAGGACTGGGTGGCAGAAGCATTAGACTTAGACATGGGAACTGACACATCCTCCAAAACAGGAGAGGCATAGGTAAAGGGGCCAGGTGCGGTGCAAGAGGCCAAGAATGAGCGGGACTGGTTCTTTTTCCTGCCCAGCCGATCTTTTTGCCCTGTTTCCTGTGTATGAGTTGTTGCCGGGTTTCTGTTCTGCCTTGCTTAGTGCTTAGGCTGTGCAGGCTTTCTTTCCTACCCCCCTGCTCAGGTTTTATTTCTACCCTGTACGGGTTTCGGAACATCCCTGGAAGGGTTTCTTTACCACCCTGCACGGGATACTTTTCACTGTGTGTGGGTTTCGGAGAGGCTCTAGCAGGGCTTCTTTCCGGCGCTGTGCCAGGTTGCTGCTTTGTTTCCTGCGTGTGGGTTGTTCCCGGGTTGTCAATGGAGAATAAAGAGAAAAACCATTGACTGTAAATCACCAAAAGCACAATTAAAGAAAAACAGCCACCTGAATCGAGAGTCTACAACCTTTATCCATGCATCCCCAGTCCCCTCGCCCTGCTCCGGGGCCACTCCTCTCGGACATGGACGGCGAGTCTGCTGCTAAATTGGAGTCAGGTACGGCAATAGTGAAGAGTGAGTTCAAGTATGATCTAGCGGACTTGGTGTTGCAGGTTCAAGCGGACTTCAATGACAGCATCGCAGTCGCTGGCCGCAGAGTATTCCCGAAACCTTGCCAAGCCAACAAATATCTGCGCACGATGCGGGCAGCTCAAGCAACTTTGAGCAAAAAGACTATAACGCGTGTCGGCAGCGGGTGCTGCAGGGTCTCTTGTATCGGTTGGTGGGTAGGACAAGAGGTTCACTTTAGAGCACACTGTTCAGTCACTGCTTTATTTATTTTGTTACATTCAACTCATTGCCATTTTGGCGAGATTGCCACTTGAGCCAGGCCAAGAATTTTCTGTTTCCCCTTTGTTCAGGGCCTGGGCCATGGCTTCGAGTGGAAGTGGGGCTGATCAAGTGAAAGCGAAAGGGCCTCCACCCAAAGGACCCCCTGCTCGGAAGGCACCTCCTGCCGCATTGCTCCGCCAGATGGGGCATGCAACCAATCGGATTGACGATGCCTCTTCGACTTGCTCGTGGACGAGAGTTGAAGATGAGCCAACCCAGCCTTCGCATCTCCCTCGAGTACAAGAGGACAGGCCGGGTGAGCAAGGGGAGATCCCGAGTGATTTTTGGCCATCGCCACCACCTGGTTGGTCGACACCGGCGGTTTACTCATTCCCACCGCCACCTCCTGCCAAAGCTAGTTCAGCTGCAGCGAACGCTCCAGTCATGCAAGCAGCTCAAGGGCTACTCGACCACTCCAACGAGAACCCCACTTCGAGGAGGCTCCGAAGACAGCAGGAGCAGGCAGCTCGCCGAGGTCGCAGAGGTGTTCGTTGGGGCCAGCTGGCCCCTGGGCGGCTAGCACACAACCCGCTCAACACCGCCCTACCTGATCACTTGTCACAGATCGGGGCAGGTGAAGGCGAGCGCTCCATCCTCGTGTTGGACGATCGCGATAGGAGAGTTCAGAGTCCTTTCCAAGGATGGCTCTTGGATGAGGTGCTCACCAACGCTTTGGCAGGGATCAATGTCCGATCGGACCGGCATGCCGTTCGGTCACCATCCACGGGCTACCACCTGAACCTGTTCATGGTGCGGACCCTGGACTCGGTCAAGGTGACGGTCTGCGGTTCAATGACCTGCTATGGACAGGCTCCATGTGCCAAGTGGGACTCGCTCACTGGCGAAGTCATGAGCCACTCGGCTTTCCAGCCCTTTCGGTGGCCGCCTATGACAGAGCAGTCGCCAACCTGGGTCGATGTGTGGAGGGGCACCTCCTGCTTCACATGGAGTTCCGTGGGTACCGCTCGGACCACGACCTTTCACTCCAATTGTGGCATGTGGCTGACGCGATCCAGACAATCCTCTCGGATACGCTGTTCGTGCCAAGCTTCATCGTGACCGTCTTCCAGGGCTGGCGTGTGGTAGCGGTCTCCTGGGAGGTCGGGGGCCGCATCTACGCTTGTTCAGAGGGTGGCGTCGTAGTGGCATTGGATTATCCACTATGCCACTTTGAGGTGCGCTTCGTCGCTACTAGCTCGCCAGACTCGTTCGGAGCGGACGCGGACCGCCTGGAGATGCGATTCCTCAGCGCCGGCGATCGCCTTGATGTTGCTGCCAGTGTTGTTCAGGCACCTCCATCCATGCTCGTGGTCAGTCGCGTTTCTGGGCCTACCTTGATCAGGAACGCCAAGTGGTGCCGAGAGCATGGGGCGAGGGTCGAATGTCCTGATCAGCAGCTCCAGTTGGGCCAGCTCGCCGCGGTACATGCTCATTGGACGGCTACGGTCGAGGCCCCATCGGAGGCAGAAGCCGGACCGAGGATTTCGGCCATCGCAGTGGAGTCCAACCCGGCGAACGTCCATTTGGTGTGCGAGAGCCCCCTCTTGCGCAAAGACAGGGCAATCGTCAAGGCAGAAGCGCTGGCTCTTCAGTGTCACGACCCTCTGGACGAAGTGGTCGCAAAGGTGATGCCACCTATCGTGGATGGGCCTGCTGTTCAGCCAGCTGCCACAGCCCCACGCTTTGCTCAAGCTTTGATGGGGCCGGCTCCTTCAGAGGCGGTGGTCGCAACGCCAGTGAGCTCAGAGAAGCCGTCGGTGACTGACCCTGGGCATGCGCCCGGTGTTGGGACATTCATGGGCTCTTCATTGGCTCCACCTCGCCGGCCGCTCGAGCAGAGGCGTTCAGAGATGATGGACTGCTCAGCTATGACGCCTCAAGCCTTCGTTGATGCGGCAAGGCGTACGGCCCGGGCGAGCGACCAGAGGCCAGAATCACATGTGACGATCGAGGAGTTCAATTCGATCGAAGGTGAGACCGGCCCAAGGTCCTTTCGTCCACCTCGGCCGGGGCAGTGATCATTTTCTGAACTGCTCATGGCATTTAATCAGCACGATTGTTCTTCGATCGACGCTCGCACCAAGCTGAAACGTTGGTCAGAGGCGGCTGAGTTGTTCAACCTTCAATTTGTGTTTTTTTGTTTAAGAGGCCCGAGGACCCAATAGCTGGCCTTGTTGGATTGGGGGGCCCCTGTGCATGTGCGAGTTGATGCACTCGATCACGCCGATCGGCTGTGAACCGTGCGCTCGCACGATCGCCCGCTCGAGGCGAGATACTCAGAGAGGGTGGTGGGTCCCCAGGTCGCTCTCGCCAACGGGTTGACACTTGTCTCTCTGTGTTCACAGAAGAGCAAGGGAGTCAGTCGTGCGGCATGATGCAGACCTGCTCGAGGGTAAAGTTCGTTCGAACGAGTCAAGTGTTTTTGAGCTTTGACATTTAAGTCCTTTCGATTTGGTTTGAGATGTTGTTCAACCCACCTTGCACGCTCGTGTATCGGCGCTTGCACCGTACCGAGGTCAGTACCCCCAGTTGCGGTTGTGGGCGCTCGGATGGGCTCTCGCCGGGGGTGAGCGGTGGTGGTTCCCTTCGGGTCGGTCCTTTTTGGGGTTTCGGTTCGTGTTGATCGTGCCGCTCGGCTCACCTCCTGGCCTGACGTCCCGTTCGGATCGTAACTCACTTGTTGTAGTTCTTTGGCTCTGGCACCCATGATCGGGGAACCGACCTGTGACCGGTTCGTTGCGAGGGTTCTCTCCCTCCCCATTTTCGATGATCCTTTCAGGGAGGCCGTGAAGGCTGCCCCGATCGGGAGCGTGGCCTTCGTTGCTGCGATGCAACGAGGGCCGTTTCTACTTACCCAATATAGGGCAAGTTAATAACATTGGTTAAATTTAGTTTTATTATAGCTTTAAATTGATATTAACTTCGACATGTTGACGTAAGTTCTTAAGTTTTTGTAAGTCAACCTACAGTGGTTAGCAGGCTTAGTATGTTTGGATAAGTGTTCCTAAATGTTTGGTCTGTCTTTTCAAACCTGCGAACCTGACAACTTAGCAGAACTTAGCGGAACTTAGCTTTTACAGTCGCAAAATGAGAAGGAGAAGTTGCTGGTGCATTTTGTCAAGTGCGTGCGGAGTTTCTGTAAAAAGAATGAAACATGCTTCTTCAGTTTGCGAATGGGTGTTGAGTTGTTTTTCATTCTCTTCGCAATAGTCTTTGTTCATGACTCTCTGCAGTGTTCTTTGTTCAGCAGATCATTTGTATGTGTGGCCATGACTCTGACTCTGCGGCAGCTCGCGAAATACTGCGTGGTCCCAATTGAACAGGGGCAGGCGTTCAACTTATACTTTGTTCAAGATGTGCTTCCAGGCCTGCAGTGGTCTGACACAGATGATGCATTCCAACCAATTCAAAAAGCTCGGGACCTTCTTATCGCGCCACGGCATGAGCAGAGCACTTGGATAATTGCATACGAGAGCTACTATTTTCAGGTGAAGGATCAGCTGCACGTGCAGAAAGATAATGTTGTGGCCATGCACGTTTGGAATGAGTATGACCAGTGTGAAGAGGTTTTGTTGTTTACGTCGGAGCCTGCCGAGAAGTAGTGGGTTAATCCATGTTTGAGCGGCTTGGTGGGCCGCTTGCAGGATGTTGATTTTTGCGAGTGAAAAAGAGTTTGCAAGTGTTCGTTTTCTTTTTTGCGCTGTTTGGTATAGCTGGGGCACGGTTTGTAGAGGCTTTCAGGGCCGTTCTGTGGGCCGCCTATAGTTGTCGTCAGCTCATCTTCTTTTTCTTTAGGAATCGTTGGGCTCAACTTCCAGTGTGTGTTGCCAGTTCTGGTCTTTTCCAGAACTGGGTGTGTGTTGTGCGTATTACTTCCAGCGTCGGCTATTAAAATCCGACACTGGCTAAATAGGATTTTTTGTGCGTTGCCAGTTCTGGTCTTTTCCAGAACTGGGTGTGCGTTGTCTGCGTTCTATATATATATGTCATCAGCGAAACATTTTATACAAAAGAATATTTCTTTGCTGAACTTTGCTGGAACTTTAGATGCAGCACTCTGAGCTTTTGTAA